AATATGTGTAGATATTTACTTACACATAACATATGTAGGTAATTTATGTGTAGGTAAAGACCCTAATTTCTTGTAGTGTCTAGCTCGTTAATACCATCACATAAAGGTTCCAGCCCGTCTTCTCTTAAACTAGAGAGGTCGTTGGAGGATCTTAGGCTCAATTCCATCAACGACCTAATGGGGACTTGATATCCTTAAGGATAGTGATTTTATCTGGTCCTTGTTTTATAACTTTATGTTTGTGTAATTTCTGTTTTCATGATTGTCTTCTAACAGCATATATACAGTCTAAGGTTAACGTAGTAAATTATTTAAATTCACATAATATATGTGAATCTGATGGTTGAAATATTTTTAATATGAATTTGTTACCCAACCTATCTAACCCGTATTTCACAATCTATGGTTGTTACAAAGTGCTTTAGTGGTCCAGATAGTTGGGCATCCTATTCTTTTTATAGGTACTCCTTCCACCATAGAAGCTTCCGTAGTTGGCCTCTTTCCGTTGCAAACAACTTATTGGAGAATAAAAAAGGTTCTGCCCTCTCCCCCCACTTATGGATCGCTTATTGGCTCTATAGATGGTCCTCTTCAGTGTTCAACCATGTTCCTTTCTGTGAAGGCCACTTTTGTTGTTTGGCCCAGAAGTCTTTCTCCACTACCAACAGTTGTATGCTTTTTTCAAGTATTCTGTGGTGGAAATCTTTTATGGTTTTGATTCTATGCCTTCTATTGTTGCTTTTTGCATAGAAGTTTGCTCACTTCATTAGCATTTTGTTCATGCATCCATTTTCAATCCAGATTGAAAACAAACATACAATTTGGGTGGTAAAACAAGCCAAAAGCCAGAAATTAGCACAGAAGTTGTCCTATAATAACTTACGAATTTATGAATCTTTATTTGATTTATAGTTTATCTATATCGATCTTCTTGGTAATACAAATGTGTCCATTTTGGTAGATGTTAAATGTAGAGTTTGGCATAGCACAATAGCACATGATATGGGGACAGTGTAAGGTTTCTGTTGTCAATCATAACCTGGCAAGAATTGCTTGTACATTTTATATTTGATTGTTTTGAAATCTATTAATCTTGTCTTTCAGTATAAACTCTATCCTACCCCTTAGATTTCAGAGATAAGAGACAGATTCTTTTAGTTTCTTAAAGGAAAAGATGCAAACGGGTGGGGAATAGGATGATCAGCACATGGGGATGTTGGTGCATGTTGCTTTTTCTCTATATTGAAATTCTTTTGTTATAGGTCATAATGTCATATTGTCTTAAATGGGTTGGGTAGCGTATCAAATAGATAAAGCTTAAGAACAAAATCACAATGAGGTGATGACGTGCCAAAGTTCTTTTTATTTGTATTTGATTTTTATAAATAACTAATTGGTTATTATAAAAAATAATAATTAACCTATAACTTTCTATGTAAAACAATTTTAGAAGATGAGAACAGTTTAGTATTCTTTGACTGATTTATACAACAATATTTTATCTTTTTATCAATTTACACGACCACGTTCCGACCCTTTTACGGACATCCACACTTAAAATATTACATATCAACAAGTATTTAAAGCTCCTAAAATTTATCAACTTGAACGATTGTTAATATAATATAGTAAAATTAAAATATAAATAAATTGACTTGTTTTGTAGAGAGGGAAACAAAGATGTGCGAAGTTGAGTTATATGTAATGATAGAGCTTCATCTGGCATTGCCATGTGCATCTAGCAACTAGGTCCACTTCTCATTATTTCTCATCTATACTCGAATTAAACTATTAATCTAACTCTGTACTTCCATATGTCCCTCCATCTGTTTCTCTCTCTCTTATATACAATATATGTATTCATTTGCATCTTTCACATTTCTTATATCATATGTTCCATTCATTTATTCACAAAAGATTTTTACACAATAATTTGATATAGAAATGCCTACGGTGAACAGCAGCAGTCCAGCACCTTGCAGCACGAGATCATGGTACCTTTTTGACAACTCCCTATAATCGATCTCGTGTACTTTCTCATTGATTCATTTTGATATATCACACGTCACTTCAGATGGGATTATGATTACATTCTTGTTTTCATTTCATAATTGAAAGGTCTATCAGTGATGATTCGTTGAGGAGGTACGTCTTCTTCGCAAGTGAGAGCTGCATACAAGAACTATTATCTGCTTCAGATTCCAACAGGGCTGGAAACGGGAACGATGGATGGAAAGTACTGGCTTTTGAAGAGGGAGTTGAGATATCCAAACGTAGGTCTGGATCTGGATCTTTTCACGCTTTTAGAAGCCGGTGGTTGCTTAAATCCGTGTCAACTGAACAATTTATCACAGTTGCAAACGCCATTGATGCCGCAAAGGTAAATGATCGAAATCTAGCTTCAACTCCTTTTCAAAACTACCATAAAAATTGTTTCTCATGAACATGTATGAACAGCAATGGGACTCGGATTTGGTGGAAGCAAGATACATCAAAGATCTTGATGAAAACCTGAGCATTATACGACTGAGGTTTGGGGAGAGTGCTAAGCCTGTTTTCCGTAACCGAGAGTTCATTGTGTACGAGAGACGCGAAACAATGGATGATGGGACTCTGGTAATTGATGAATCCATTAATGCTCTGGTTTTCATTTTATCGTTTGTAGTTTGATCTGAAAGTAAAAGTGATATATGGTTATATATATTGAAGGTGGTAGCTGTAGCTTCATTGCCAAAAGAGATAGCTGCAGGGTTGCAGCCAAAGCAGAATAATTCTATAAGAGGGTTGCTACTGCAATCCGGATGGGTTGTCGAAAAGCTTGATGATGATTCATGCATGGTCACTTATGTAGTTCAGGTATATGATTGAAGATATAATTTTGCAAAATACTTATTGATTATAGTCGATCAAACTTATAAATATATGGTAATTAATGATTTTGCAGATGGATCCTGCTGGATGGTTACCGAAGTTCTTTGTGAATCGATTCAACACAAAACTGGTTATGATCATTGAAGACCTTTGGAAACAAGCTCAAGCTTGCTCTGCCATTCCTTCCATTACTGATCCATCATGAAACAAGGATCTACAATTATAGTGATACTGAGTGAATACGGTTTACGTATGATTGTATCATGTCATAATGTTATATATATGTATGATAGAACAAATCAATCAATTTTGAAGAGTAATGATAACAAGTGTCCACCCCTTATTAATTTGGAAACAGAGAAAAACATTCGCCAAAAAAACATTCTACACTATTCATCTTATAATGTTTATTTTGACAAATAATTTAACCAAAGCTAAAATAACATGTTATACCGCATGATCAAAACTTATTTTATACGGAAAAAAGACAAAACAAGATTTTTTACCACTCTTTTTTTGTACGTATTTGTGTGAAAGGGGTGCGACAAATTGACAGATTGAATACTCATTTCTTACTTTGTGTCTACTTCAAAACATACATATGGTTGAAGATATATGTTAATATGTACCCGTGTGGATACATGTTCATCTGCATCTACATCTACATGTACATACATATAATGAAAGCATGTGAGAGACTGATCAAATGATGGTGGATGTATTACATGTGTTCAAACAGTTGCATGTGCATGTGGCAGGTCTATTCAAACGAAACGACCTCGTTTCTTAATTAGGTTAGATAGAACATGCATGCACCTCGTTTAACCAAGTAATGCCCCCGTTTTCACTCAAACTTTCTCCATTAAATGATCTTAATTATAACTGAGTCACTGGCTCTCGGGTTGTTGATCAATATCATCAAAGCCGGTAATGAGGTACGATGACAGCATCGATGGTCATGGCCACCACCCTATTCGTGTTTATGAGGTAATCAGAATATGTACATCTAAGATATAGGTATGTATGTACCTATACAGTTTGAATAAGTCCTGTTTTTTCTATTATATTTAACTTCAAATTTTCTAAAAGTTCTTACAATAATTTATCTTTGATATACTTAAATGTATAAAATAACAATTTATATTTATATGTATGTTTGAAAATCCTTTATTTATTTATTTATAGTTCAACTATATTAATTTTGAATTTTTTTACTAAGATATTATATTTTGAAAAATATACATAACTGCAATATTGCATTTTTTTTTCTTTTTGTTTTTGTTCAGTACAATGTATTTAAAAAATCTATAGATTATATCAATGAAATTTGTTTTCTTTTTCAGAATACAGATTTATCACAAAAAAATATTTTAAAAAAATATTTTATTATTCTTTTACATTCAACATTAAAAAAACAAAAGTATCGCATCAATATATTGCTTAAAAGTTACGGAGCTACAACTAATTAATTTGTATAATGTATTTCTAGGATTCAAATCCGACACCATCCTTAGTTATAACGCTTTCAACCCAACCTATTAATTTCAAATCGAATTAATGTGATAAATAAATTTCAATGACAAGAAAGACATAATGGGATGGTATGAATTAATTACTACTTAAAAAAAATCATACAAAAGTTTTGTACGTCGCTGTTGTGTGGTTACAAGTTACGAACATTTAAAACATTTATAATGGTACGTAGTTAGGCAATTAAATCAAGACTCACAGCCCAAACGAAGTGAACTGCCCATTAGAACCAAATGACGGCCGGCCCACTCAAAGATTAGGGTCTCGAATCCATACCCTTCAGGTCATAAACCCATATGAATTGTGAAGACCAATTAATTGGTTGACTGCATTATCTTTTCCAAGAATAGGTTCTAGGTCCACATATATATAGTTACAAAATTTCTTTTCATGATTTACCCTGAATTATTTGAAATTCTTCACATTTTACCCTTATGACCGATAAAATATGAAAATTTTCAAATAATTCAGGGGTAAATCAAGCATGAAAAAAAAATTCAGTGATTAAATATGAACAAAGTTGAAAGTTCGTTACCCTATCAAGTCATTATCTATTTTTGCAATCATCCCTTATTTTATTTTGCCTATTGGTAGCAACTACGATTAATAATTTTGATTTCAGTCGCTACGAATTGTTTTGTGTTGTATTTGTACGAAGGATTACAAAATAGAATATGTACCACATAACAATGTTGTACTTCATGGCTTTAATCCCAGTCTATGAGATAAACTTTTAAGTTTAACTAGAGTTTCTTTATTCACATATAAGTGGAACATCAACCCACAAAGAAGAAATTATCAAAAGAGTTTCACAAAGGGAAAAAGAGACATATATGAGCAATTAAACAACAAATATGATCAAAAATCAAAAAGAGCATGGTGAGAAGGAACATATAGAACTAACAACAAATAAAAAAGTTAGATGCAAATAATAACTAGCAAGAAAAGTATCGACAAAACAAGTAAAAAGTAAAAACAATCAAAATTGGGCAAATTCACAAACAATGTAAAGGAAGCTAGCACCTAGACTACTCATGTACTGCTCCACAACCCTAAGCTTATTCATTCACTCTGTACTTAAAGCTCATGTCCTTGTAAAGAGAAAAAAACGCATTCAAATCTAACATCGTATTATCTTCAAAACGGCCGTCTCTATCTTTTGGAGTGAAAACGGTCGCCTATGTCCTAAGTATATGTTCTTTCTTCCTCGCACGATCTACAACGACTGTCTCCACCTTCTAGAGTGAAAACCGTCGCCTATGTCCTATGTATATGTATGAAACCACCATATGTTTTCCCTTCAGTTTCTGTGATCGAAGCCTCTCCTACTGCATTTGTAAGTGTTGTTTCTGGTACCTTATACTATAAAGGTATCTCACACAATTACAACAAGATCTTTTTGTGCTCATCCTTTATAACATTTAGAACCATTTATGGGATAATGACTTGAAAGGGTAACAAACTTTCAGTTTTGTTCACATTTAGTCATTGAACTTTTTTCATGCTTGATTACCCTTGAATTATTTAAAATTGTTCATATTTTACCCTTATGACCGGTTCTAACCGGCTAAAAGCGGTCATAAGGGTAACATTTATACGTTTCAACAAGTTCAAGGGTTAATACATCACGAAAAAAAAAACGTTTAGTGACCAAATATGATCAAAAGGTAAAGTATGTTACCTTCTCAAGTCATTATCCCTTCTAAAAAAAGGAAAAAGAAAAAAATTAGTATGCAGTGGGATTCTCTTTTATATATTGTATTGCATTAGTTTTAAATATATATCGAGAAAATTGATCCAACCGTACCTTCTCTTCTCTAACAAATCTTGGAAGATTTACTATTTCAAACGGTCCTATTAATTGGTGCTTTCATTTCTTTTCAACATGCCTCCAAAATGAAGTCCCCCGACACTCAAAGATTCCATGGTCAATATCGTTGACTACATATCCAAACTTATGTCATCCACCACCTTCACCAATAATATACTAGCAACTAAACCACATCATAGTCCCACACCGACATAAATGTTAAACAACTCGCCAAGCAATATGACCAAATCTCCTCCATCATATCTAGCATCATCAAAACCACACCACCATCCAACTCTATAATATGAACACCTATCAAAATCGATACCAAGTCATGTAAGAACCCAAAATTTAGAGAGATTTAACTTTGGATAAATGTTTGACCTAAGTGGCAATTTGATCATTTAGAGGAATGTCATGAATGGAGAAAGTATAACTTCATGAAATTAGTCAAGTTAAGTTTAAGTCACATGTATAAGATAAGATAAGTGAGTTCGAGAGAAGAAATGTAATAGATGGCGCATTTAGGCCATAAAGGGTCAAATGAGAATTTTATGAATTTTTGGGCCAAGTTTGTGATTTAATAGATTAAGACCTATAAGTAATCTGTTAGAAATGACTTAATGAAGTTTTAGAACTCATCCCTACCTTCGTGTGGATATAAAGATCATGAAATCGGGTTTGAAACGAAGAAGTTATGAGCGTTAGAAGATTGGAAGAAAATTGTTCCGAAGATGGAATGGAATCATCTAATGAGCTGCTGATATGCAGTTACCGCAAAGCAGTAAGCTTTTTACTATGGTGTGGTCTTCGAAATTGTAAAATGGTTTTCGTCGTAAGTAGAGGGCAATGTACTTTGCACCATGACATAGCATATGGGTACCGCGACGTGGTGGCAAATGTAGGATGTTATTCGGGAAAGGCATCGCGACGTGGTCAGAGGAAGACCGTAGCCTAATAGCGTGCACCATGGCATAGTAAGCACTCTATCGCATGACAGTTTCACAATTTAAAAAACTGGTTTAAACCTGTTAAGGGTTCATTCTCAATCATTTTTCTTCCTTTATTTGAGAGAGAGCAAATTGATGGTGATTTTGAACCCAAGAAGGTGCCATGAGGAGCTAGAGATGGAGGATTACAAGGATTAACACCCTTTCCCTCATAAGGTAACAATTTCTTCCTTTAGTGAAGCTTATAGATTTAATGGTGGAATTGTTAGTTTGACTAGATTGTTTGATTAATCAACTTATAACTTGATTATGATGTTATTGAAATCCTAACTAATGAGAGGGATAAATTGATGCAATAGATGTTTGAGTGTAATGAATTAAATAGTATGACATGCTTAATTCATTAGGTAAATTAGATTTAGAGGTAGAAGTTGAGATGTTACAATTATGATCAATTTTATGATCATTTTGATATAAAGAGTGATTAAGATCATTCCAAAGTACAATGCTATAGGTGTGGCAATTTTAGTCACTTTACATCACAATATCCGGAAGAAAAGCCAAGCAAGAAGAAGTGCATGTATCCAAACTTGAAGATCATTATCCACATCTTTTTATGGCTCAAACCCTCTATGAGACAGTTTTCTTGAATGAAGAAGGTGTTATATCAAGAAAATTCGAAAATCAAGATAACAACAATGATGTTTGTTACTTAGATAACGACGCAAGTAACCACATGACAGATAATTTATCTTACTTTACCAAACTAAATAATAGAATCAGGGGTAGAGTAAAATTTGGTGATGACTCTTTTGTTGAGATACATTGAAAATGATATATCTTATTTGAGGGTGAAGGGGGAAGCCAAAAGTTACTCCGAACCTTAGAACTAAAATTATCAGTTTAGGACAATCAACCGAAAATAGGTGTGATATATCAATGAAAGGTGGTTATCTACATATTTATGATAGTCGAAATATACTTTTAATTAAAGTGAAACGTTCCGCAAACAAACTCTAAAAAACAAAAATAAAAGTTGGAAAACCAGTTTGCCTACACAGTCGTCTCAGTGAGCAATCAAGATTATGACATGCTAGATT